CTTATTTTTTCCTTCACCCAGTCAATGTAACGATTACTGAGCGGATATGTGACTCTTGGCTTCCCCTTTGACAAAAGGGATTTGGTGATCTCTCTCCATTCACGGTACATAAGATATGGATCATCGTATTTAATCTTGAAGAAGAAATCTTGATCGGTAGACTTAAGCTTTGTTCTCACGACAAACCCCTCGATAGGATTTCCATTCAACTTTCCCTCATCCCTAATTCGGTCCGTGAAGCTCTTTACCTCTTCCACATTATCTTTCACATAATAGATAGTAGATATAAACCCCCATTGTTTGGCGAATTCTTGGACACTTTCACTGGGCCACGTCTTGAGATCAACAGTATTATAGTTCATTCCGTGGAGGTAAAGACCGCGGCGGCCGGGAGAATATGGTAAAACATGTTCTTCAAAGGTATCATCGCAAAGCTTCGAGAATCGTCGTGAAATGAGTATGATGGATTGTGAAATAAGTTTGTACAGACTTATAAAATATAAAATACCTCAGCAACCGCGGTTAGCTTGTGATCATACAGAAATCTGGCCAGCTCGTGTTTATTTTTTCCAACGTTCGCTAGATGTTTATCAAGCCATTCTTCACCTTTCACAGCATGTGCAACCGTATCCGCCCTTGGCCCCAGCGAATGTTTGCTAGTAACTATTATTTGATCCTCAGGAAGTCCACTAATGAAGATGATGCATCCGTTTTCTTTGACCGTGACTTCATATGGACCTTTTGTATTATTACAGATGTGTTCCCACTAAATTTTATGTAGTATCGCAATGAATTAAACATATTATTTACGCAAAATAATATAATAAGGGACTATAAATACCTTGGTTTCTGATACCTCACCAATGTTAAAAAATTTGTCATATCCACGAATGACTATTTCGTACCGTCCTTCCACGACCCTCGTGAACAGACCTCTCGCTTGAGTTGGAAGATTGCTTTTTTTGTAATCCCATTCGTTCATTCTCCAAGAGGATATGATTATTTCAGAAGGTTGGTGTATATATTCTGTTCTCTTTGC